GACTTGAAAGGTTGGTGCAGCTGGTGGCTGCTTGTTGGGTGGCAGAGATGTGCACGCATCAGAAAAACTGTATTGGGTGCCCACCATCACTAGACGCCACACGGCTCCCCGGCGAGCTGCGTCAGCGTATGATCTTCCGGAAAAAAAGGGACACCTTCTTCCGGGCTTCCAAAAATGTGATATTTTCTATAACTTTGGTGTGAATAATAGCCTTTTATTTCTTGAATGCTTCACATGTGCGCGAGTACGCGGCATGCGGCTCGTTACAGTTAGGACATTCTGTTTGATTCGAAGTGCATTTCTCGGTTGGATGCTCATGGTCACCACATTTCGCACATGTTAGTTTTCCGCGGGAAGTGTTTGATCCATGTCCGTATTTCTGGCATTTGAAGCACCTTCTATTAGATTTGAGAGTTCTGGCTATCAGAAGACAGACAATGACTCAGCAGATTCGTTGTCTGTAAGAGAGTGTATGATCAGAAAGTGTGGAAAGTGGTCTCAATCAGTTCGGGTACGTTTAGAGCGTTCATCGGTGCGGTTCCTTTTCAGGGACCAATCATTCTGAGAGGAGAAGGATTTCGCCATGTGAAGCATTTGAAGTTCGGCGGTGATGGTGACCAACTACCACCGGGCCCAACAAGGGGACGCTACATGGTAGAACACTTGAAGGCGCCAGCCATACATCACTGCTATAACCAAATATAGTTACCCAAGGTTGGGTCTAGGTAACACAATGTTAACCTTTTCCGACAGAAAAAAATGGCAGTAGACAGAAGAGAAAAGGTGACAGGAGAGATAAAAAGTGAGAGGTAAAGACGAAGACGAGGGGAGAGAAAGGGAGGATCCTTTGCATTTAAAAACGTCAAATGTGTTCCACAGGCTTGATTTAAACAAACCTCCGAAAAGGGCTATTTTCAGTTCCTTCTCGTATTTTTTTAACGAACTTGAAGGAGCAGCAAATAGCTTTTCTTCCTATTTGTTATTATTTTTTGTGCGGTTAAATAGGTCGAAGCGCGAGAAGTGGTTGAATTCGTGCATCCGCCGAGCATGTCCCCGTTCACCCTGCCACTCAGCAGTAATTAATGTCAGGTCGTGCTTGGTCACATGCTTCGGTTGTCGTGCCCAGTGTGTAGATGGGAAATGCAAGACGGAGAAACTTGATGAGGTGTGCAAGAAAAAGACAGGAAACCAGTTTGACTGGGTCAACCAATGTATGTGCGTCACGAAGCAGTGAATGTAAAGTTGGAAAATCGAGACGTCGCATGTCCAGTGTGCCTGTGTGCAATTCTTACAGCAAAATTTCCAGATATTTGAAGTTTCTCTATTTTATAATGTAAGCAAATACACACAAGTTTTGTACTGTTTTTGGCACTAAAATTGCAGCCGTGATCAATAATCTCGTGCATGGTCTCTCTATCTGTGTGTGTAATGTTTTACGCACATTCTGGCATTCTGGCTGTTCGATTTTGCGACAGGGCGGTGTTCCTGCGCTGCACAGCACAAGTTGTCTCACGTGCTCTATGTATGGAGCTGCGAATTTCGTGCCTCTTATTTTCCTTTATAATTGGTCTATTTTCGAGAACAGTTCTAAAAATTTTCTAGTCTGCATGTATCAAAATTCCAGCCGGTAGTTTTTAGCATTCTCTTTCAAGCGTAAGAAATTTCGCAATACCAAAAAAAAAAACTTCAGGGACAGTCGAATGAGAAAAAAAAAACGAGCAGGTTTTCACGAAGTGGCGCCCGTGGCGGTACGGTATGGTATGCTATATTTTTATTCAGGTCCTGGAGATCAACGCTAAGGTTGACGCAGGCGGCTCCCACGTTCGGAAAGTAAGGTTTAACCTTACCACCATTTCGAGGGCCTTCTTGGGCGGCCTGTGGTTGGTCTGAAAGAGCTTCACGTTGAACGACTCTTTACCACTAGTAGCTAAATGATTTTATTCAGGCTTCGATCACGTAGCGAGTGCCGTTTTAAGTTTTAAGTAATGTTTTCCTGGGACAAATCGACAGGTCCGTTGCCAATAAATTGATGAATATGTCCTGCCACATTTTTTTGTTATGTTGATGATTTACTTATTGTAATTAAAACCGACATTCAGCATAGCATGAGAGCTGACATATTAAACTTTTTAAAGGATTCTCGCCTTGGGCTTAAGTTCACCTCCGAGCTGCCTGAAAAAGGAGAGCTTCGGTTTCTAGATATTAGAATGCGGTTTCACGAGGAACATTTGTGTTGGTCGTAAAAGCCCCGATCCGCAAATGGTATCTTGCCATTCACCTCAGGCCATTCTAAGATAGTTAGGTCCGGCTTTATTTATGCTGCACTGCGGGGTGCGCTCCAGAAAACGTGCACGCATGCGTTGAAAGAAAGTTTCATGAGCCAGGTTGAGAGGCTGAAGTTGGCGGGCTACCCTGATACGGAAATCTTGAGGAGTTGTCAAAAGCTAATCAAGTGGGTCCAAGGCGTAAGTGATACGCACAGGAGAACAGAGTGCGTGCGCAATGAAAAGAAACCGGTCGTGGTACCCTACGTGCGCAAGTCTCCACATTGCTTGAAAAATGTGGCCAGTAGGTATGGGGTACGTGTGGTGATGTCCTCTTCCAAAAAGTTGTCCTCCATTTGCGCCCGCGTGCATAAAAGTAGTTCGGGTTTACGAAAGACCTGCTCGTACTGTCCGGAGAAGAGAAAAAATAGATATGTTCAGTGTAAATCGTGTGTTTTATATATGTTACCATTGTCATGCGGGGGTGCTTACATAGGACAAACCGGGCGGTGCCTTAACGTGAGACTGAAAGAACACTTAACCTCTTTAACGGCCACTGGCGGGTTGCACCTGCCAGCTCATTGTAAGCAGTGCTGCCAACAATTGGCAGATAAAGCCACTTGTTTGTTTGGACATCGGGACAAGTGCACCAGGGAAGTGATGTAGGCTTTTTTTCATTGAAAAGGAGGGGGAAAGGTGTGTAAGAAAGCCGTCCGTGGCCCTTGGTGAAAAAGAAGTTCGGTACCTGGGTTCTGCGCTGCCATGTTAAAGTGATTGTTAGTTTGTTAGGGACTGTTGCGTATGTTTTCGGCAAGTAGGAAGGTGTGTTTTTTGTTTTTTTTTTGGGTTGTTACACGCGTGTTGATGTTCAATATGATAAGGCTTGTTTCGTACCTTGTTTGCTTTGATGCGCAGACGTCTTTGGTTTTCCACGTGACCGGGTCGAATGCTTGATATATGTGCGTGTATCTTCCAATAAAGTTTTGTTGCCACTTCAGCGCGGTGTCGTCTCTTCCTCTGTCCTTTTCTATATTTGTGCGCTGTTTTTACTTCCCAAGTATGAACCACCAGCAAGCCCAACTTTCGCTATTATAGGAAAGAGACAGTGGCGTAACTAGGGGGGGGCAAGGGGGTACAAGTGCCCCGGGCGCCACTAGGGAGGGGGCGCCAAGCCGAGTCCTCGGGTTGGCGCCCCCTGGAAAGGTTGTCAATGTTTTTTTCCGTAAAACCGCCTGGAAGGGGGGAGGGGCGAGGTTGTAATGTACGACTGGAAGTGGGGATGGTGGTGAAGGAAAGGGTTGCCGCAATGGCTTTTGCATCGGGAAAAGGATCCTCTATTTTCATTTTGCTGCGCTACCTCCGTGCCTTCCCATGACCCTCGGCTAAGCTTTGTTTTGTGCTCCGCAGCACTGGGTTAGATGAGTTTCAGCGAACCCCACCAGCCTCCCAAACCACTTACTGAAAGCTTCCCTGAAACCAACCACGTACGTAAACAAAATAAAATAAAAAAGTTCGAATGCACCTTTTTTGAGTAAGAACAGAAAACTCCAACGAAATAGCCGATCGTCCAACGACTAATCGTCCACGCAGCGGCGGAAGGAAGGGCGAATATAATCCGTGACCTCGGCACCAAAGGCTAAACAAGGCGTTTATTCGCAGAGTTCTCTGGAGGAAAGACGGAGAAAGCGTGACACGACGGCGACGTTTGTTGATTCCCTGCATCGCGGGCGCCAGCAAAGCAATAGAAGGGCGGGGGTCAACGTTTCCCACATGCCATCCACCGCCATGGGCAGGTTCATCCTTTGGCCCAAAGAACACGCACCTGCGAAAAAAGCGCAGAGCGTAGTGTACCCGACAGCATGTGCCGACTGCCCCGCTTCGTACGTTGGAGAAACCAAGAACTTCCCTGAAAGAATGCGGCCGCACAAGGATGACCTCCATCAATGGAACAGCGAACGGAGCGAAACGGCAGAACACTCCGACCAGTTAACCCCCATACCAGACCCGAGGGCGCGGTGTCTAGCTGGTTGCTTTGTTTTGTACTCACCCTGCATTCCTTGGGATGCACAAATAGCGCGAAAGCTTAGGTACGAGAAACTTGGGCCTGGGAAGCGCCCGTGCCGTCAAGATTTTTGCAGTGTGGACTGGAAGAGAACAATGACGGGTAAGGGACTTCCGGAAGTTTGAATAAAAAAAGAAAAATACTATACAAAAACGCGGGCGTAGCTCATCGAAATCAGAACTGGTGGCCCTTGGCCTCCGAAATGGCCCGCCGCGCGCCAGTAGGCAATCGCGGAAGCCTACATTAGCGCTAATAATAATAATAATATAATAATAATAATAATATTATTTAATATTATTATTATTATTATTATTAATATTATTAATATTATTATTATTATAATTAATATTATTATTATTATTATTATATAATAATAATAATAATAATAATAATAATAACAAACATTATCACGGGCATAATGAGGGGCGCGGAAATATATTTGCCCTGGGCGCCGTCCTATCTAGTTACGCCACTGGAAAGAGAGTGTTACTTCAACGCGTTCTGACTAGACAAAAAGCGTTGTTTTTTTTTCAAGGAGAAGGAGATTTGTACTACAGCATGAATAAATGAAAAACACCTAAAGCAGTGTAAAATTCAGTAATTGGAGTAATTTGGCAATACACACTTGCTTCAGGTTACCAATTTCATATGGTCAACCAAACGTGGTGGCGTACCTGCAGACGTCGACGCGGATGACCTGCTTAGCCGAAGGGTCCCTGTCCTGCAAATTGACCACGTACTTCCACTGGGAGCGGTCGCTGAGTCCTGCCTTTGGCGACACGAACATGGTGCGCACGGGACAGGCCGGGTCCACCTCGGGCGCTCGCTTCACCAGGTCTCTACGCAGAGCGTCAGGCAGCCTTCTCACAGCACGCCGCCGGCAGGCACTCGATCCCCAATGAGCCACAAACCCCGAGCCTCACGAACGTTCGCGCTCTATAATACAGACACCGCTGCTTGGGCACCGATGCGGCGATACAGTGAATAACCTGCCCACTTGGTCTGCCGAGGTGAGATATGCCGCACTTTTTCCCCGTAGAGCTTGATAGCAATGCACCACTTATACCTTAGACTCTGAGGCATTCTGCAACTGAGACGATATATATATATATATATATATATATATATATATATATATATATATATATATATATATATATATATATATATATATATATATATATATATAAAGCCTCCAAGAAGCAACTCTTACTTTAAGTATACACCGCTTGCATAGCCATATATTGTAGTTCTGCGAAACGCGGCCATAGATTCACGGAAAATTTTGGCGCTATAGAATTAATACTGAGCACACATTTGAACAAATCATGGCGCTCGGCGTACTGTTAGGGACGGCGGACGAAACAAACAAACAAACAAACAAGCTTGGAATTGGACTTGTGCAGACCTGCTGACCAACTCTAGAGCTATGCTGTGAATTCCCTCTTAGCTCGGGAACTAAAACGAACGCACACAACAGCATTAACCGCATCGCATAAATTGGTTCACAAATATTTGAATATTTCAAGTTAGCGAATCCGCGTGTGCGGTATAGTCACCTTTTATGGTAGACAAACGTTGGCGGTAGGACGATTGTGGCATCGGGCCAATCATCGCCGTCCTGGTGCGACAGCTGGTGGTGGAGCTGCGGCTCCTGGTGTTGCTGGCGCCTTCGGTGCTGCTGCTGTGGCCTACGATGCTGGTGCGGACCTCCGTGGTGATGCGGCGGTCCACCCTGGTGGTCGTAGTGGACTGCCGTTTGATACACGACGTAGCTGTCCGTGCGTGGCTGGTCGGGAAGCAGCGCACGGTTTGGCTGCGAGTCGCCCAGACTCTCGTCCGAGAACAGCGTGGACAGGTTGAAGTGCTTACTCTTGCTGCCCAGCAGCACGTGGTAGATATAATCTCTGCGCAGATGTCACACGCACAGCATGGGAATCGTGTGTGATTAACCGAATGGTTGGCTTGCTAGAATTTTTCGTTGGTCTATCAATGTTCACTAAAACATGGGTGCATAGTCCCGCAACGCCTACTGAAAAACTCCAATTTTGCCACTCTTTTATCTTGTATAGGAGACTCAAAAAAAAAAAAAGAGTCGGATCAGGAGATACAATTGACAGTTAGCTAATCATTCTTAACTGCTCCCTTAAAAATTCTACATACGTGCGTAGTATTTGTTACCAAGACCACATTGGTTTCGGTCTCTTATATCTTCCCGTCTGAGCTGATTCCAAACGGTCAGCCAACATCTTGTTTCCAACCGCTGATCGACGTCCTTGCTGTATGTCATGATACTCGGGAAAGTGAGGCCTTTCAATCAAAACGTCGTAGACTGCTATAGAACTATGAAAATGGTCTGGCGTGCCCTCACTTGACCTATTCATTAGTTATCGTACGCGAATTGTCGGGTCTCAAAAGACGGCTAGACCTTACGTCTTAGTCGAGAACTGACAGCACAGTACAAACACATTATAAGGGAACAGTTCAAAAGATGAAGAACAAAGAGGATACAGACAACGAGTTGAGGACCATAGCGACTGACACCATTTCTTTTTTTTTTTCAGAACGTGGGACGTTTGCTGGCTTCCCATTTATGATATTATCTTATGCGAAGCCTCTGTAACCCCCCCCCTTCCACACACACACACACACACCACACACACACACACACACACACACACACACACACACACACACACACACACACACACACACACACACACACACACACACACACACACACACACACACACACACACACACACACACACAAACAAATATAATAACTTAAAAAAGACTGTTGTCTTTCTGGCAGATCGTTTAATCTTTGATTTCTGGACTATTTCATTTTTTTGTCTGTGAGGCACTGTTATTACACGCTCCTTCCAATTGTGTTTTCCCATAAGCCTTGCAGTCAATTTTTTTTGTATATATGTGTGGGTTTTGAGAATTAAAACATCACTAGTCGGTTGCTAGTGAGGGCCACTGTTCGTATTTTTCTTCTTCGTTTGTCTTATGCGATGTTCTCCTTTAAGCCCGTACCAACTTGCTAAAGGCTGTATGCTTTCGTAGATATTTGCTTGGAAAGCTGCCTGCATGTTGGAGCGACAATGCTTTCGATCGCAGATGATGAAATGTTGCCATGAAGCAATCGCACATCACGCTATTGCTTGTACTTCCAGCTGATATGCGTCTCCCATACTGACACCCCGGCAGTAATAACGCTGGCGAACGACACTAGACAAAGGCAGAGCAGCGCTCACGTGCAGCAATCGCATTTTCCCCTTATTTTAAATACGTAAGCTTATATATATGACCAGACAGCCTTTGACTTTTGTTCGTACATTAAAATTCAAACCGACGTCTTACGTTCAAATTCAGAGAATGCACTAGAAGAGTTTTCAGTAAACCGTGAAAAGCCAACGCGCAAAGTGGTTTTCCAGTAAATTAATATTTCTAAGCCGAGAAAAAGGAAAAAAAAAACGTGTAGATTTAATAAGGCCTTTTTATGTGCACATACTCGAATGTAAAAAAAAAAAAACGTTCGTAAACAGGAAGTGTGTTATTAAACTCTCTTTCAGAGACAAAGTGAAAGCGGCAACCAAGCACCGACCGTGTAAGTGGACGGATCACTTAATTGCTATACTTACAGCTGGTTTTCAGGGCTCGCAGCGTAAGCGCCCTTTCCTGGTCCTACCATAAGCGTTGAAAGTCAAAGGTTATAATGTAAATTATATGCATTTAGCGAGCTAACGTGAGAGTTTCTGCGCAATTAATCGTTATATGACGTTGGGGTTTGGCATTAAGGCTATAGTTGCTATTGTATTTTTGCTGAGAAGGCCAACAAAACGCAATCTTCTTGCCATTCTAAGCGGTGATAGTCTCGGCTGTTTGGCAGACTGCACTTCTTAAGTGACCTGGAAGGTCACAAACTACTCTATGTTTAGAAAACAATGGAGAAAAAAATAAATTGATTCTTTTCTAACGTAGTGTGACTGCAAGTTTCGATACAGCTAAGCAGGCGGCTACAGAAAGTGCCTCATTACTAAACAAACAGCGTGTACCATGGCTTAAAAAGCGTCTGTAACACCTAGCTGCCACTCTGAAAAACCGCTGTCATAGTTACCGCTATGCGACAAAATAAAACTCGCAGTAATTCCAGAGTACAGCGTTGGAAAGCGTTTGCATGTATTGCAGAGGCAGAAGTTTTGACGGAGAACTATTTCGCCAGTTGTATTAAAGTTATTTTAGATATCGTTACTGAGCGGTAATTAGACGTCGACATATACGTTTCTCCCTTCGCATTGTCACCTCGTTCGCGATACCTGGTCAAACTTCGCGATACCTGGTCACGTTCGCGATACCTGGTCAACGTTCGCGATACCTGGTCAAAACAGTGTATTGAAAAAAAAAATACGGCAATATGTTTCAGATAAGCACATCTGATTCAGCGTCTTAGTCAGATTTAAAGTTGTAATGAGAATGTAGGTAGATTTTGCCCAGGTAGAAATTCGTAAAGTGTAGCGAGATATTATGCTTCTGCACACTTCTTTTTTCTTAGCTGCTGTAAGGACAATGACTTGGCCTGACGGGGAGGTACTCGAGCACCTTCGAGAGCACGCACGTGTAAGGTGCAGCGACGCAACATGTGGCCTTCAGTCTGCGCAGCCACCACGAGCACGCGGTGCGCCTTCGTAAAGCCGCCAGCATTACTAGCCAGTCTTGCCGTGGGCAGCGGTGTTTCGCACGCGGCGCGCGTAATTGAGCCATCATGGATTCACCACCGCGACGGCCGCCGCTTTCTTAATAGCCCACAGCGGCTGCTTCTGTACGTGAGGCGAGCACTCTTCCTTTCAAAACATTCCGCTTTGCCTTTTTGGCCGGGGCGGGGGGGAGTGTGATAGTAATGCGGGCTTGAAATCCGCTAGTCCCTGCATGCACTCGCCCCCTTGTTCGGTGCTGCTTGACTTCCTGCGCGTAGATGGTGACCGTTGAGAGCGGCGGGGCACGAGATGCCTTTAGCTGCCGCGCTATTTCATCACGAGTGTAGCAGACGCACTATGCAGTGGTTGCGTGACCTCCCACACGTGTGACCTTCAATGCTGTGCCAGCTAGCTTGACTGACCGTAGGCCTACCCCCCCCCCCCCCCCCCGCCCAATCACATTTCTGGCTCACATATCAGGAAACAGCTACCATTGAGTCGGTCGTTTCCCCTTCTCCTTTATTGGGTGTATATATACGTACATATTCCAGTACGTAAAATTCTCGGAATGTCACTCGTGGTCCAGCGCCCCTCATGTTTCTTTTTTAGGGGCGAAGCTCCTTAGGGCGTGGGCTGTGCGTCCCCTGTAGCCTATATGTAGCCACCTCTAGTTTAGTTCTTGCAGTGTTCACTAGATGGCGGTACCATCCCCTGTATGTACGGGAAGACGACAAACGAGGCTGTAAAGGGCGATATGGGGTGGGCAGGTTTTGAGGCGAGGGAAGCGCAGAGCAAAATAAGGTTCGAAGAAAGGCTAAGAAATATGAAGGAGAGTAGATGGGCAGAGAAGGTGTTCCGTTATTTGTATAGGAAGAGCGTGGACACACAGTGGAGAAAAAGAACTAGAAGACTCACTAGTAAATATACGGCTGGTATTGTGAGCCATATGTCAACAAAGAGCGTTAAGGGAAAAGTCAGGGAGGCGGAGAGGATTTACTGAATGGCAGCTATGGAGAAAAAACCGGCTTTGAGTAACTACCGAAAGGGCAAAAATGAAATAAGGAGGGAGGCATTTTACGATAATTCAAGGGGAAGCGCTTTACTGTTTGAAGCGAGATCAGGCTGCCTTAGAACGCGTAGTTATAAAGCAAGATTCAGTAAAGAAGAAGAACAATGCACATGCTGCGGGAAAGATAAGGAAACGGCGGAGCATGTTCTGATTGAATGTGGAGATATCCACCCAGGTGTACGTTTGGGCACGAGCCGTCAGGAAGCCTTGGGTTTTAGGGACAACAATGGAAAGCTGAACACACCCGCGATTGAAATAAGTAAGAGACGGTTAGAGTATTGGTGGCAGAAAATTAGAGAGAAAGGACAAAAATAAATATTGGAAAAATAAAATATGGACAGTGTGCCGTAAATGGCAGAGAACTTAAGCTGAAAATTTACCTTTTTTTCCATTAAGATAGAATTTATCGAAGTAGAGGCATTAGGCCAACATAAAAAAAAAGGTTTTTTTTTTTTTTTTTTTATCGAGCCTGGTGGCATACTTGTCACCACCCCGTTATAAAGGGGACGCTCATAGCATCCATCCATCCATGTAGCCACCTCTAGTTTAGTTCTTGCAGTGTTCACTAGATGGCGGTACCGTCTCCTGTATGTAGCCACCTCTCGTTTAGTTCTTGTAGTGTTTACTAGATGGTGGTACTTGTAGCTGATGATGAAAAGATGCAAGATGTTATAAACTAGAAAGCGGTACTTGTAGTTGATGAAAGACGCGAGATCTTATAAAATAGGAATGATGTCACATATGGCGCGTGTCATTGGTTGAAGGCAATCGTTCGATTTAGTGCGGCGACGTACGCTAGGGGGAGCGATGTAATAAAATCGAGTGGGCAAAATGTACAGAGGATTCATGGTTTACCAGGTTTACCTCCGGAGCTTCGCTCACTCATCATCATTCACTTCGTGGATATGGCGGAATTTTTTTTCATTTAGATATAGTAATTATGACACAAGGGGAACGAATTCAAGCGACGTGGCGCACATACTGTATGACGCAGCAAGTGAATCGACTGTGATTTAGTTGAGCTGAATTATTTGCTGAGCATGGTGGCCTAAATTTATGGTTTTCGCCAGCGTAAAACATGGTGACGTTGACAGCAAGAGATCCGTGTTCGTAGAGTTCATCGCCGTTTCACCGTGTTCAACTAGGTCATTTGCGCAGCCCCCAGTTGTCTGTATATCAATTCTTCTGGCCACAGTGGCTCTGCAAGTCTCAAGATGCGCGTTGACGTGGATACCCACGTGGGATAGTCGTCGACTTGTGCACAAACGGTGCGCCCCGTCTCGGGGCAGTAGGGAGGCGAAGGCACGAACGCCCTCCGGCTCCTTTGCTGCGGAAAGCTCACGTCGGCGATGTAGTAGCTGGAGCTGGAGACGGCACGCCACACGGGCCCCACTCCGCTTTCCGCCAGCACGGGCAGGGCTCCCAGAACCAAGCCGCCCCAACAGCAGCAGCTCAGCAGCGGCACCAGCCACACGGCGCGAAGGACGGGGTTGCTCGCCTGCACAAAGAAACGCGCACGTGGTTGAACAGAGCTATGCAACGCCCCAACGTCTGTTATTGCCGATTTAGTGCTAGCCACGGACATGCGAGTCACCAGGTAGTCTGAGAAAGATGATGACAAATGAATGGTAGAATGCGACACACCAGCTGCATTGAGAAGCTGCCAGACATGCTATAGGGCATTTCTGCGGGGACTTCCGCAAGTTCCCTACGTACCCACTTGTATGAGCCATTAACGAACTTTCCATGGGCCCATGCGTGTAGCTTTGCAGCTCTACAAATGGCGCCCGAACCCTCATCATCAACTTCAAGTGACAAAGCAAATCGCAATGCAATATTTGTTGCTCCTAATTGCTATTCGTAAATGCGCTTTCATTTTTATTTTGCTTCGAACAATAATTTGAAAGATTTTCATAAAAAGAAATATAAAATATATGCAATTTTACCTGCTAGATTTCTGAAACAAAGAAAAAGGACAGGGACGTTCTAACTGAACTCACATGTCGTAAACAGATACACTAGATGTTTTAACGTAATATACGATTTTCACATGCCGAGCGGACAGCGTGATCCCACAAGTATACTCCTCGTTTGGTTCAACGCATAATGAAACGATGAAAGCAGCGCAGACCACAGGACCAAAAGAGGTGGTCTTTCTCTATCTATTGTCCTGTAGTTCACGCTGCGTCTCGTTTCCTCGTGCGTTGAGCCAACCGGCTCAAATAAGTGGGGTTCAACGCAGCCTGCACTAATCACACTTTCTGCGTGAACTGGCGCAATCGCTATTATTCGGGGTGTGCGTCACTGGCGTCGTCACGAAAGTCAACCCCCCACCCCCGATGCCTCGAAATTTTGAAGTCTTTCAGGCGTATACTTTCACGCACCTCATTGGCGTAGCTAGAAGATTGGTTATGGTTTGTCATGCCGCTTGGATACACAAACATGCAATATACATTTTTAAGAAAGAGAGAGGGAGAGAAGTGAAGAGGGAGGCCGGGAAGTGAACCAGATATTAGCATCCAGTTTGCTATCCAGAACTCGGGGTAGGGAAGCAGGGGTATGAAAGAGAGTATTTTGCATGTGTATATACAGATACACAATCCTACAAACGCACGCACAAACACAATGAAATTCGATTGAACGCTCCACCCCCCCCCCCCACCTCCAAAAAAAAAGAGAGAAACGTCTGTGCCCCTGGTGTGTGCATGCAACGTGCCCAGTGACTTGAATCACATTTTGCACGTCTGCGTGCACTTTGTGCCAAAAAGCAGTTCTCACGTTTGAGTTGCAGCTTATTGTTGGACATGAGAGACCGTGTGCGCTTGTTCTTGTTACTTGCATATATATGCTGTATACGAATTGCATATGTGCGTCGCATAGCGTTCGTGTCAGCAAGCTTAACACGAACGCCATGGTCTACCTTGGCTGATACCAGCCGCGAAGCGCGGGGAGCTGTTGCCGAGATATGCCTGGATAGTATGTCAGCATGCGTGATTATTATTCCGGCAACATCACCAAAAGTTTTACCATGCTAGCGCCAATCAAATTGTTTCAGGACATACTGCGGATCGTTCATGTTAAGCTTGCTCACGACTGTACTGTCTATATGTGATTTGATTGATAGGGGGGTCTAACGTCCCAAAACCACCATATGATTATGAGAGACGCCGTAGTGGAGGGCTCCAGAGATTTCGGCCACCTGGGGTTCTTTAACGTGCGCCCAAATCTGAGCACACGGGCCTACAAGATTTCCGCCTCCATCGGGAATGCAGCCACCGCTGCCGGGATTCAAACCCACGACCTGCGGGTCAGCAGCCGAATACCTTAGCCACTCTACCACCGCGGCAGAGCGTGTGTATATGTGTATGGGTATATACCATGCCATGAGTAGACTTTTCTATATGAGCTAGCTTGCTAATGTGACCAAGCAGACATCGCTCTCTGCTCCTGCGACCGACAACATTTTCTCTACACCGTATTGTGCTCGTATTTTCTAGTGCTGTCAGTTTTACAAGCCCCCATTAACATGGGTCAATGCTACAATAGTCATTACAGACTTTGATTACGCTTTGCACATTTATCAAAATGGTAGCGTCAGCACACACGTGGCGCCTTCGGATTCCTTCTCCAGGCCGATACGACTATGGCTTCCATAAGCCCTTTTGACCACCTGTAATGTGATTTCCCAACACTAGAGTTGGAATCACCAGCCATCATTTGCGACGTGCAGGTGAGCACAGCGTATCTTGCAGAATCAATAGGCGACGCGCACCGCACTGCAAGAAGTTTCGCTCGAAGAAATGTGTAACCTGTTTACGGAGGCACGTTTGGGCGATATGTTTCGCGCAGCTTCGAACAAACACTGCTTATGCTTTTTGGTTGGACTTTTCTGCTGTTCCACTTCGTGGTGAGAGAGAGGCGCTGTTGAAAGCAGCGCGTTGGTTGCCTTGATACTGTCCCTCGTTCACGATCCTTTGAACGAAAGAACTTGTGGGAGCCCCACGCCAGTGGCTCCTCTTGCAATGTTTTTGCCACTGCGGCCTCCTTCCCGAGTACTTGTGTTCAGAAATGGTGATACAGCGTGGTGCAGTGAAAATGAGATAGCTTGGTTGTTGTTTTTATCCCTTTCAGGCGCGAAATATAATGCACTGTCCGGAAATGCCTAAATTTCGCACAACATAATTCTAACGCGCCTGTTATTACGCTCCAAGAAACAAAATGAAGAAATAAGTTTCTTTCCGAAATTCGCTAATCAACTTTGATTAGCTATATTGAAATGTTTAATTTTTCTGCTGCTTGTATTGTTTAATTTTTACACAAAAAGAAGGTTATCTTGGGCCAAAATGCACACGAAGCTTGTTTGACTGAGTTCATTTTGAGCAATCAATAATATCACTTATGAAGTTGGTCCTGGAACGTCGATTGAGTGACCTGTCAAACATCTTAGTGCCTCATCAAAGTGGTCGGCGGCAGTCATATGCAGCACATCTGGGTTAAGTCAAGGCGCGTTGACTATGCAGAATGTTTAATCGGTCCCATGCGCAATTCAGTTTGTCCTTTCTTTCCCACTAGTGCGAGGAACTGTCAAAAATGAGTGGCGCCCAGGTATGTGGACGCGTCGCTCCAAGGGGTTCTTACAAGTATTTCTTTTGTTCCAACAACGGCTTTCCTTCTCGTGGTGTCAACACCAGTTTCATTGCGTGAAAATTCTGAACTACATGGAGTGAAAAAGGAAAACCGCGAGTGGCCTTATTTTCAGTTATGGAACAACCATGCAAAGAGAACGCGCAGAGACGGATCGAAAAGCTAAAGGCAGCAGGGTATGTTTACAGAAGGTCGTACACCGTATCGAGTTGGCACAGGCGAAGAAAATGAAACGTGGAGGTGAATGATGAAGTTTCGACGTTATAAACGGGGCCCAGACAGTGCAGAGATTTATAGTGGGTGCACGAGCGGCAAGCTGAAGAATGCGTGCAGAAATGTTCCAAGACAAGTCGAGCTATAAATACTAACAACGTTTACGTTTCATGTTTCTATTCGTAATCTCAAGAAATGAAGAACTAGATATGAAGCACGACGAATGCGTAGCGTTCAACCCACAACCTCCGCACGCGAGTGATGGTCACGTGTGCTCTTCCCTTTCCTCGGATATTTACGAAGGTGTGTTAGTAACTTGACCCAGGGTGTCTCCGACAGCGCAGCCAATGTAAGTGAGTGCTATCGTTTCATGGTGCAACCGGCATTACTACATCAGTCACATCATTCTGCCCTAAATTTATGCGCGAACTACAGCTTTTATGAGCGCTCGCGTGCAGCCGACAACGTTCGCACAGTTGTTTAAAACTTGTTGGGAGGCTATTTGGTAAGACATTACAGCATATGACAGCGCACAGCAGGTTACACGAAGAACAGGCGCACAAAGGGACGACACAAGCACTTCCCTTCATCTGATTGTTTTTTTTTTGTTACGGGAAAGAATCTCTAAAGTAGGCGACGCATGCGTTGTTCCCACTTGACGTGCGCCAATTTCAACACTGATTGATTTGTGGGGTTTAACGTCCCAAAACCACCATATGATTATGAGAGACGCCCTAGTGGAGGGCTCCGGAAATTTCGACCACCTGGGGTTCTTTAACGTGCACCCAAATCTGAGCACACGGGCCTACAACATTTCCACCTCCATCGGAAATGCAGCCGCCGCAGTCGGGATTCGATCCCGCGACCTGCGGGTCAGCAGCCGAGTACCTTAGTCACAGACAACCACGGCGGGGCGCCTATTTAAACACTCAAAACCAATATCATGTAGCCGCAACCAACCCGCTTAAAGAGAGACAGGCAAATGAAATTTGTTTGACGTGTTAATACATAAAAAAAAGCTTGCCGTGTGCGTGTTCTCTGTGTAACCTGGTATGCGCTACCATATGCTGTAATTCACAAATCTCACTGCGGACAACGTCAAGCCCTTTCGACGAAAACACACACCTCGGCTCCTGTTCTCAATAAATTGGCGCCGCCTGCGGAACGAGCGCAGTGAAAAGGCAGTGGTGCTGCCGCCGCGCTTCCATTTCCCACACTTTCGTTTTTTCCCCATTTATTACACTCTTCAAGCGCGTATACAAGATAACAGATTTCCGATGGTATCCTTAGTAAGGCGAATAAAAGTGTTATCATCGTCATAAATCCTCAAGGGAACGCCCTTCGATCGTGCCGTTCCGAAGCACGGGGAGAGTGTTGTTGACGGTTTTTTTTGTTTTATCGTAACGCGATAATTTTTCGCGCACCGGAAGCTTATTGATGGTGTCACATCATCCGCTCAGTTTATTCCGCGAGTGAGTGGCTTCATGGGTCATCGATGGGGCCATGAACAATTAGCGGAGGCGAGGGCCAAAAGCGACACTTCCGGAAGCGAGATAGCATCGGTGAGACCAGTAGGGCCACAACGCATGCGTGGAAAGAAAAAAGCCGACTGGCAATGACCCGCAAGTGAGGGTTGAGACA